GGACATTTAAAGATGTCCTGAAGGTTCCTAAGCCTCTCTTAATTGTTTTGAATTCTTGTTTCTTCATTCTTTTCTGTTTGGTTGTTTTTCCCTTCTGGTGCTGGGACCCTGGGTTGCGCAGGCTGTCTCGCTCCCCAATTTCACCTGGTTTAACTGCACAAGAATGTGGGACTGCCCCATCAGTCAGCTGCCTTGCGCATGGTGCCCTGCTTCATAATCGCTGCCTCACTGGGTCTGCCCATTGCCACTTGAGCCCAAGGTCTGCCAGCTGCCACCTGCGCGCCCAGGGTGCCTTGCATGCCTGGTGCCACTGCTTTTTCTGCTGCAACACCTCTCTGCCCAGCTGTCTGATTCTGCTGCCCCACCTACCAGTCTGGATGAATGTGTGTATTTTATCTCCTTGGTTGTGCGACTTCCATACAGTTCAATTTTCTGTCAGTTCTGGTTGTCATCTTGTTTCTAAATTTTTGTTGTCCTTATTTTGGTTGTGCGAGGTGGCACAGTGTGTCTACCTATGTCTCCATCTTGGCCAGAAGTCCTAGACCTTTTTAAATTTACATCCATGTTATGCACACCCAGAAAATGTGGGCCTGTGATGCCATTTGTACACAAATATGCCATCGACACAGCTTGAGCCATTCCCCCAGCAGTTAGTTCCCCCTCCCCCCCCCCCTCCACCCCCCAGCCCTCCCCCCAGCCCCTCCCCCAGCACAGCCTTGTCAGCACCTGGGAAGCTCCTCCTCACAGCCCAAGCCCCGACGCCAAGGTCCTGAATCCGTTCTCTCTTTTCCCTAACAGTGAGCACTGAAATTGCTTCCTGCTTTCCCCTTGAGCGTCATGTGCTGCCTTCTTGGACCCCCCTGGCCGCCTTTCTTTAGTCCTCAGCAGATCTTGTTCAGTCTGTGGCTCCTGGTCTCCTCCTGAGCCCTCTCCCCCCGCTTCTGGCCACCGTGCTGCTGGGCTGACAGTGATTACCTTCCGACTTCCCCTGAGCACCACCCTTCTCTCGGGCCTTTGACCCACTCTGCCAGGGTTTTCCCAGATGTGTGTGTGTGTGGGGGGGGTCTGTGTGTACCCTCTGTGTGTGTATGTGTGTATGTGTGTGTATGCATACATGCAATCCCCCCTTAGTGATCTCACCACCTGCACTGACCAGTGCCCAATGCAGGTCCACCCACCCCAGGAAAAGTTAGCCCTTGTTGAGTTCAAAAAAGAGCCCACCAGTTCGCCTTGGGTCCTCGCTGCCGTATCGCCTTCACAGAGGACTGCCGTGAGGGCTGTATAGGTCGCCTGCATAAGCCGCCGGACGCAGCTCCTGGCAGAGGAGCAGGGGAGGGACCACCTTCCGAGAACACTTCGCCGAGTTCCTGGGACCACCAGGCGGTAGTGGCCACAGCCCAGCATCTCTCCTTCTCGTTCACCTTGGCCTCCAGACTAGCTCCACATTTAGGGGAGCACTTGGTAAGAGCTTAGGGGTGAGCTCAGGGAGAGCTTACCAGGGTAGTATGTGATTTGTCCACAAAAACAATAATAAAGCCCTAAGCTTCCGGGCACTCGGACTGTGCCAGACAGTTTTGGGCACTGACCTCCCAGTAGTGAGACAGACACAAAGTGTGCATTCCGTCAGCGTTCGCATTTCGTGTGTGAGGAGACTGAGGCACCAACAGGTAAAATAACGTGCCCTGGCTGGTGTGGCTCAGTGGATTGAGCGTGGGCCTGGGAAGCAAAGGGTCGCTTGTTCGATTCCCAGTCAGGGCACATGCCTGGGTTGCAGGCCAGGTCCCCAGTGAGGGGTACGTGGGAGGCAACCACTCATTGATGTTTCTCTCCCGATCTTTCTCCCTCCCATCTCCTCCCTCTAAAAATAAAATCTTTTTGTAAAAAAGAAGGAAAACAAAAGAAAAAAATGAAGTCACACCCCAGCCAGTGGGTACAGTTGGTTGGAGCGTCATCCTGCAACCAGAACGTCATCATCAGTTCCATTTCTGGTCAGCACACACGCCTAGGTTGTGAGTTCGATCCTCCAACTGCCTGCGAAAGGCAACCAGTCAACGGTTCTCTCTCTCCCCTTTCCCGTCTCTCAAATGAGAATAAAATAAACACGAAGACTCAGGCAACGAATGCCTGCCGTGGACTCAGGTTTCCTTTCCCAGGACCCGCCTCCAACCCGAGCATGAATCCTGGGGTCCAGGGCTGAAAAGACGCCCAGAAAGCAGACGTTAGGACGGGCGGCCAGGAGGTCCAGCCTGCTCACAGGACTGGCCACAACTGTCCACTCGTGCAGCAGTCTGAAGTAGCTGCGGGGCCGCCGGGCTCTGTTCCGGGGGTTGCTCTGGACCGATGAACGGGCTCCCGGGGCGGGAAATGCACGTGCTCACTCCTCCGTCTTCCACAGGAAGGCCTCTTCTTGGCTCCCATGGTGCCTCTGGGGCAAAGACTGAGCACATGGTGCCAGCAGCCAGGCCAGGCAAACAGCATCCCCGGGTGGGAGTGGGAGTGGGGTTTCCCCTCCACCAGGAGGAGTTCAAAAGGAACCCACCACGTGGAGTGAGGTGTGGGGACTCCAGGTGGCTCTGGAGTCACGGCCCCTCTCAGCCGCCTTTCACTGAGGATAAAATGAAGGACCAGGTCTGATTTGCACCCTGTCCCTCCTTCCCAAAGTAGGTCACCCAGGACAGCCAGATGGCATCCCAGACAGAGACTCCCAATAACTCAATGGGGAATGGTCAGGAAGCTGGAGCTCTTGGGCTCTTCAAGTCCTGGCAGAGGGCCATGTCAGGTTCAGAACATGCTGGATGGAAACCCTTGAGAACCATCTAGGGAAGAGACTGGGGAAGGGCTCCAGGACTGTCCATGCTCATCTGCCTCGAAGTCTAGGGGACAGTTGTTTCAGGCATGGCAGGATCCAGGAGCTCAAGAGATATTACACGTGTCCATCTCCCAACTCTGCTTTCTCAGGTGCTTGGAAAGCTCTTCTCTCCTGATGCCCCCAGAAGCTCCAGGCTTGGTCCACCCAACAGCTCAGCAGTCCCAGCGGAAAGAGTGCACGGACCAGCTTAGGTCACCGGCTGTCTTTCACCGGCTGTTGGCTAGACCTGGGTCACGTTGCCACTCCCACAGCTGGAGCCAGCCACCCCCAGGAGGATGCTGCAAAGGGAGAAGCTACAGGCACCCACACATGTTTGCTAAGTGTTTCTTACCTTTCAACCCAGGTCAGAGGTAAGGGCAGAGTGGAAGAGCTGGGCTTGGGATCAGGAGACCGGACCTGGAGTCCTGACCTCAGCAGGTCAGCAGCTCATTCCGCCCCCTTCACTTCATTTCTCCAACGGCTGCCCCTGCCCCCTCAGGGCCACAAATGGGAAAGAGCTGGGCCAGCAGCAGAAGGCAGCATCTTTGCCAGGGGTATTCCTACGGGTCCTCCTGCCTCTTAAAGAGCAAGTCTGGCCTGGACTTTGGGGACAAAGAACCGCCTTCCCCACCTCCACTCACTCACGGCTTGGTGGCACCTTTAGGCCTTAACCCACGCTCTGCCACCCGCCCGAACCTCTGGTGCACCCAACAATCCCTGTTTGTCTCTCAACGCCCAACAAGCACTGCATCCTCGCCGCAGTCCCTCCTGATGCCCCTCGCGGCTCCCATCAGTGGTGTCCCAGGGGCGGCTCATACCAGAGAGGGTGGTCACTGGTGCACACCTGTTCCCAATCCCACGTTTAGAGTCATTAAGTCAGTACTTGAAATTGGCCATGGAGGGAGTATTTACACAGTGGAAATAAGCAAACACTCCCGACCAGGCTTTATCGAGTGCTTCCTGGGTACCAGACTGAGGCTAGAGCAGCAAACGGCACAAATCCATCCACCCACCCACCAGTGTACCTACTGGCCTGACCTTCATCTGTCTGCGCACCTCCTACAAATCTCTCCTTCCAGGTGGGCCAGCTTTTGTCTTGCTTTTGCACCCATGTTTGTGAGCTGGGCCTTTTCAAAGATGAAGCCAGTAAAGAGCTGTGTCCAGCCCAGGTGGGTCTGACATCCGTCAGTCTCTCAGGAGCCCCCCTCCCCCTCCCCAGCACACAGCTCTGTGTGTGGAGAGCTGAGCTGCTGCCCTAGGGGGCCTGAGGCCCAGGTGGCTCCCGCAAACTGTCGCCCCCAACAGGTGCAGAAAGCACAGCACACCCTGGCTAAAGCGCCTCCAAGGTGATGGTGGGCTGGCGAGGGCTGGCCCCACTGGCGGGAGCCGTGGTTTCGCATGTGGGCTGCCACCTGAGCTGCATACAACCCGATTCAATACAACAGTCCCGCTACGAAAACCATCAGTGTTCTGGAACTTTCCACACCAAGGGCTCATGTGTGCTCTCAGCGACTTTTCCCAACCACCCGGTTTTACAGATGAGTCACAGAGAAGCTTTCAGCTGGACCAACTTCGAGCTCCGACTCGTCCGGGAGGAGAGGCAAGCCGGGCGGGCTGTCTCCTTGGAGCATCGCCCTGCAGCCCGGCCTCTGGGGAGGATGCAGGGTGGGGATTCCCCTCGGCGCCCTAGCAACCGGCTTCTGAATCAGACTCTCCGCCACCTTGGCCCAGCTTGGGGGTCACAAAAAGCCGCTTCTAAAGGTCAATACCCTTAGGGGGGAAACAATCTCTTTTCTTTCTTCTTTTTTTTAAGCGAGTTGTGTGCTGTATGTAGCATTTATATCTACCTCCTGTGCAAAACTGATGTTTAGTAAGGTGCCTTCAAAACCTCACTAAGAACTATTTTTTGGGCTTCTTTTATTTATTCATTTTGATCCTCACCCAAAGGACATTTTTCCCATTGATTTTAGAGAGAAAGGAAGAGAGAGAAACGTCAATGCCAGAGAGAGAAGCATCAACTGGTTTCCTCCCCTGCGTGCGCCTGGACAGGGGGTCGAACCGGCAACTTAGGCATGGGCCCTGATTGAGATTCGAGCCCTCAGCCCTTCAGTTACGTGATCACGCTCCAACCAACTGAGCCACACCAGCCAGGGCTTTTCTTGGCTTTTTAATTCACATTTCAACAGATTCTGACAAACCATCAATAAGAACTTGACTTCCCCCTACTTCCCCAAGATGAGTAAATAAGACGTCAGGGGAGCGGGAGCGCTGTGTCTGTCACGGGGGCCAGTCCCTATCGGCCCCGACCTCACCCGAAGAGCCCATGGGGACACGGGGGCCTTGTGGTCCCCAACCTGTACTCAAGCAACCCGTACATAAAGCCCAGCACATACAGTACTGAATAAATATTTCTTGGGTGCATAAGGGAAGTTTAAAAATAGGCAGAAGAGGCTAGAAAAATTTTTTGACTGGTGGGAGGCCGTCTTAAGAGAGAAGGCTGACTGATTTTAAGCCCGGAAACACCCCCGAGTGTCCCTCTGCTGGGTGGGGACGGCCCACAGGCCCGGGGCTGTGGCTGCTTTCTCGCCCCCACCCACCTCCAGCACAAGCTTTGTCCCACCACAGAAGGAAGGAAGCTGACGTTTATTGAGGGTCTGCTCTGGGTTGCACAGTAGGTGGGCAGCTTCGCTGATTTCCCCCTAAGCTCGGTCGTGCTGTTCACATGGTCGGACAGGAAATCCCAGCCCAAAAGGTGTGTGCGTGGCTGGGGGGGGGGGGGGGGGGCTCATCTGAGGCAGCACAGCCAGGACTCAGACCTAGGGCACGTCCCATTCTGTTCCCCCAAAATCCCCCCCAAGAGGTGGTGAGGAACAGTGGAGACTTCTCTTGGTTCCTGCAGACACATGACCAGGAGGACTGGCTGTGCACGGGCCCAGGAGGCCCTGTGGGCAGCACTGGCCCAGACTCTCCGAGTGTGTGTGACCCAGGGGCCAGCCCGTGTGCCTGGCAGTGAGGGAGGCGTCGCCGTGTGCACACAGGCATGCATGCCATTCGCACACGCAGGCACACCAGTGTGCTCCTGAGCCACACATGCACACAACACACTCCAGGCTCAGGGCCCCGTCGAGGAGACCAGAGGCTGCAGGCCCTGCCTACCACAGCCCCGGTGACCGCACCTTCACAGCCCAGTGGCACAGCCAGTTCAGAACAGCCGATCGGCCTCTCTAGGTGGCCTGGGGCCCGGCTCCTGCAGGCGGAGGGGCCGTGACCACCCACTGTCGGACGTAGCTCCTCGGGGGCCCCTCGTCCCTGGGGCCAGCGAAGTCACACTCCACAGGGCTGCCGCAGTCCGAGCCCGCGAAGCCGCTGTCAAAGGTGTCCATGTCCAGGCCAGCGGGAGGCGAGCTTTCCTCGCTGTCAGACACCCCTCTGGACAGTCCACCACCCCACGGCGGCCCTGGCACCCAACCAGCCTCATTTTCAAAGGGCAGCTTTAGTTTGTTGAACAGGCTGCCCAGGTGGCCCCCAGGCCTGGCAGGGCCACCAGCTGCCACACAGCCACAAGACAGGACTGTGGCCTTGGTGTGCAAGAGCGGGTCCTCAGCGTCTAGGCCAGACTCCAGGCCTGTGTCCAGGTTCAAGGCTGGATAGCCGTCTTCCTCACAGGTACAGGCACAGGTGCACGGCTCCTCTGCATTCACCACAGTCACTGTGTCGATGGATACCAGGCCGTACGGCCGGTCTCCCTCCTGGCTGTAAGCTGAGCTGCCCAGGCTGTCTGCGGTGGAGGGGCCGGGGCCCCAGCAGTCCTGCTCGGGCACCCTGTCGGCCTCCTGCAGATCCACGGACTCTGGCAGCACCTTGGTCACCAGCCCTGGGGCTGCACTCAGCGGTGGGCAGCAGCTGTGCGTCTCCAGGGTTGAAAACACCTCTGGGCTCCAGGGGCCCAGCTGCAGGCTCGAGGCAGTGAAGGGTGTGCCCACCCACTTCTGTGAGAGAGAGCAGGGAGGGGAGTCATGAATGGGTTGGGGGCCAGGCGCAGTGTAAACTCAGACAGTGGGCGGCTCGCTGGCCTGGGGCCTGTGTGTGTGCAGGGGCCAAACCTCCCCAGTTAGTGACATGGGGGCAGGGGTCTGGGGTCTGAGGTCTGGGGTCTGGGGTCTGAGCCACAGAGCCCCCCACCTGTCCCCTGTTTTATTTCCTTCAGACGTTTCTCGAAACCCGGCATTCTCTTGTTTCTGTCTGACCACAGTGGACACTCAGCCAGGAAAGAAGCCCCGGTTCTTCTGGCCACAGCCCTGGCCCCAGAGGCTCACGCAGGGCCTGGCACACAGTAAGTGGCCGATAAATGTTTAGTAACTAAATGAACGAGCAGAGTGTATCAGCAACAGGTGCTGGGAGCGGTCTCTATGTGCACGGTAGGTAAGGGCTGCGGGGTCGGGACGGACTGAGGCAGCAGCCCCTCAGCACTGAGCATCCCCCTCTTGATACAGGGTCTCCATCCAATCAGCAGAGGGAATCCCTGAGGATGGCAATCTCCCGGATCTGAGCCCATCACCCCTGAAAAGCTCACCTAAGAACCCTGGCGTGGCCACCACCACTGAGTGGAAGTCACTTCTCAGCAGCGTGGCCTTGAGCCACATACCCTCTCTGTGCCTCAGTTTCCTCATCTGTAAGGGGGCCTGCTAACAGCTCCACAGGGCTGTCCTGAGGATTAAGTGAGGTGATGTTTGGGAGGCCCCTAGCAGAGTGGCCAGGACGCGGCGGCGCTGTGTGAGCCCTGGCACAACGGATACAACCAACTGTGATATCGGAGCTTATGGAAGGTGCAGGGAGAAGAGGAAAGGGTCCGTCCCGTGGGGGCTGAAGTCCACGCTCCTCCCAGGCCCACTGCAGCCACTTCCCTGATCTGCGCCTGGGTCTCTCCCGGCCCCTCGGTGGTGATGAAGCGCCCGCAGCTCCCGATACACAGCAGATGCTCAATGAATGAGCTAGTCCGCATTTCCTGGCCTCCCAGCTTGCCTGGAGCAGCCGGGCTGCCCCTCCCGCCTTCACCACATCCTGTCTGTGGGAGGGCCCCTTCCGCCACCGCTGGGTGGGTGTTGAGCTGTAAATGGGCCCAGAGAACCCGTGGGCACCAGTGGTGCTGCTGTGGTTGAAGGTTGGGGGTGGGGCGGGGGGGTGTGTTTTGCAGGCGGGTCCATACCCTTCCCAGAACCTGGTCCTCTCCACCCCCATAGCAGGGGCACCTAAGGATCAGGAAGCCAATCTGTGGCCCGAGGCCCTGCCCCAGCCCCTTCCAGTTCCTTGGGCTGGAAGAGGCTGTTTAATTCTGTCCCCTCCCCATTACGTCTGCACTTTGCAGATGCCAAGGCCAAGGTCTGGCTCCTGGCCTGACTGGGTGGGGCTGGGGCTGGGGGGGAAGGTGGGCTCCGAGAGGGTAAGAGGCTTCAGGGGGCTGGATACGAGGTGGGGAGCTCTCACCTTGAAGTTTCCGCTGTGGCCCACATACAGGTGCTGGAAAAATGACTCTGGGCTGGGCACCTGCACCCACACCTTCCACTGCCTGGGAGGGTAGAGATAAGGTGAGCCCCCCACAGGCTCCAGAGGGCTGCCCCACCTCCCCCTCAGCTTCCCCTCAACTTTGTCCTGCAGGAGACTGAGTGTCTCCAGAGACACGCGCATGTACCTCCTTTACACTGTGCCCCCCAACTCCCCGCCTGCCCTGGGCCTCAACGTCCACATTTGTGAACTGAGGGCAACACGTCTCCAGAGGTCTGGCCACCTACAGCGTACAGGGCGAGTGTGTCCAGGCTGAGCCTCGACTCCCCCCTCTAGGACCAGGGCGAGCCAAGAACCAGGGAGCGTGCCCAGTGCCCAGCGCCAAGAGCGCCCCCGATAGCCGTGGCGCCCCCAAGCTTCTCTGCCTCTGTCTCCAGCTGGAGGCGAACAGGATGGGCTGGAGGCTGGCTGGACAGGGGCTCAGCGCGGGGCGGCGCCATGCAGCCGCAGCTGGCCGCACTCGCCGTGGCCCGGGCAGCGTATGGTTTACTTTCAATCAGCAGCAGCCTTTCTCTCAGTGACCGTGTTCGGAGGAAACCAACGTATACAGAGACGAAAAGCAGGGATAGAAGTGGGTTATCACCCCTCATCCCACCTAGAGGTCCCTCAGGCCCCTCAGGGCTCAAAGCTTAAACACAGTCACGGCCAAGACTTGAACCCCAGCCAAGAGCACAGGGTTCAAAGCCCACCTCTCTTGTTTACTGGCCCTGCAATTTGGGGCAAGTTCCTTGACAACTCTGTGCCTCGGTCCTCCGACCGACCGACCGATGCAGGCGCTGCCGTGCACCGAGCTCTCGGGCTGCTGTGAGGGTCAAGTGAGTGCTCCGCACAGAGCCCAGCACACAGGAACCACTGTCACTATCGCTGTCATGATGGCAGCTGTGTCCCCAGCCCTGGAGGAGCTGTGGCCCGGGCTCACCCCTGCCCCACTTCCCTGAGTCCCGGGCCTCACCTCCAAGGCAGGCGGATCTTCAGACCTAAGTAGACAAGGATGGGGACAGTGACGAGCAGGAAGAGGTACAGCAGGTCAGTGTGCAAGCCTCCTTTCATCTCTGGGAAAGAAGCAGACACCGGGTGGAGTGAGTCCGCCTCCACCAGAGGCCACGTGGGGTGGGGGTGGCGGTGGAGCGGGAGAGGGTGGCAACGCTACTGGTGCCTTGGAGTAAGGCACCCGAGGGTTCGAGTCCCACTTCCACCCTCACCCCAGGCAAGTGGCTTTATCTCCAGGAGCCTGTTTTCTCATCTGCAACGTGGGGTGATGGCCCTCGCCTCACAGAGCTACTAGGAGTGGGCACACCCCGCCAAGAGAAGCACCTGGCGCCCCACGCGGGGCCTGGCCAGCAGGGGCTCCGGACATGTCAAGCGGCTACAAGTGGGGGTACTCAGCTGACTGGACACCTTCCAGCCACGCTGGAAGTCTCAGGGCTCAGGACAGGGCTTGGCACAAAGAGTGGGTGTCCGCCCAGCTGCGCACCTACCTTCTGGCTGAGTATGAAAGGTGACCGGGTCACTCCACTCACTCCAGGTGCCCTGGAAGTAGGAGCTGGGCTGGGGCCCCGCCCGCACCTGCAGCTCATAGGTGGAGCCTTTGCGGAACTCCAAGGGAAGGAGGGAGACGCTCCTTGAATCCACCGAGATCAGCTTTCTCCCTGGACTCTGCTAGCACAGGGCAAGGAAGCACCAGGTCAGGGCACCCCGCTGGGCCCTGCCGCCAGCAGAACCGCCGTCCCAGCCTCCACAGAAAAGCGGAATTCCTCCGTCAGGGCCTCCGCTCCCCCCACGAGAGCCAGGGCCCAGCCCGAGTTCTGGCCCTGCAGTGGGGCACACACAGAACCACGGGCGCTCCCGACCTTGCCTGCGACACAAAGCTTTGTGCCATTTCTCTCGTCAGAGAGAGGTCCTCCTCCCCAGGAGGGGACCCACCCTGCAGGGACTGGGGTGTCCTGGGAGCAGCAATGGCCACGCCCGGTGACGTGTCACTGGCAGCATCTCTGACAGTGGACGCTTTGAGAATTCCTCAGCGGCGGGTGTTCCCAGGGCATTTGAAAGGCTCCACTACAGGCGTCTTAGCAATGGATTCCTCTGGGGACATTCTAAAGGGTGAGTCACTCTAGAACTCCTCTAAATAGCGGGCCACTCTGCACCTCTCTGACACTAAACAAAGGACGCCTCTGGAAGCTTCATGTCTGAAACCGTGGTCCTTCCAATGCGGGAAGATTCCAAACGGCCCATTTCTGAAACTTCTACTGTCTCTAGAATCCAGGTGAAACCTGAGGAAGTGCCAAGCAAGCCGTTCCTTTCTGGCATGCTGATGGGGACGGGGAGAAAACAATTTCAAGGGGTTTCCTATCCCAGGAAAAAACGAAGAGAAGGCAGCACAAAGTGAGAGAGTGTAGGCGGGCGTCCATCCTCAGTGTGACCTTGGTTTCCATTCCTGGCTGTGGGTGGCACATGCCCCGTCTCTCAGGTCCTGCCCTCCCCCACGGGGGGCCCTGCACCGCCCACCACCGCGCCCCGATTCTCTGCACTCACCAGGCTCCAGGGGTCTCCCCGCCTCCTGTACTGCAGCTCATACTGAAGTTTGCCCACGAGCGGGTACGAATTGTAATTGGAGCTCCAGGAGACGTTATAATGTCCCAGGAAGGTCACGGTCACGTTGAAAGGAGGAGATGGTTTGACTTAAAGAAAAAAAGCCAGCAAGATAACATGGGGTGTGATTTTGTAGCTGCCAAGAAAGATTTGGTGGCCCATCCCTCCTGTGAGTGGGCCTAGTGACCCCCGTGACACTGGGCCTCGGTTCCTTCATCTAAAAAGTGAGCTCAGACTAACTGGGGCTGCAAACAGAGGCGGCAGGCGATAGAAATGGGTGAAGCTGCTTTGGGGACTGAACCGTAAAAGGCCCTCCCAGGCAGGCGAAGGGGGACGTGGGACTCAGGCCCGGCCGGCAGTGGCCGGGCGGACTGCAGACTAAGGTGGCCGGGAAGAAAGACCCGGGAAATCCAGATCCCTGTGGGAAATCTCTCAGCTGTTAGAGTTTGCCACTAATCCCAAAGCATCTAAGCTACCTGTTGGCCAGATCTACTGTTCCTCTATTTCTGCTTTATTTTTTTCTTAAATTTTTCAAATTTATTTTGAGAGGAACGTTAAAGGAGGGAGAAAGAGAAGGAGAGAAACACTGAGTGGTTGCCTCTGGCAGGCCCCCAACCAGGAGCCTGGCCCACAGCCCAGGCAAGTGTCCTGAGTGGGAATTGAACTGGTGACCTTTCAGTTTGCAGGACGATGCTGAACCCACTGGGCCACACCACCCCGGGCCTCTACAGTTAATGACACTATGACGCTAATGATGAAAGCGACCAGTACTGAGTGCCCCCTGGGCTGCTCCGCCCTGAGCAGTCTGACACACCACAGAGGACCCTGGGTGTGAGGTTCTCATCTCGCAGACACCCCCAGCAGGGGCGAGGGCAGAGACCACCGCACCGCAGCCTCCTGGGCGCCCCTCGGGCAAAGGGCAAAGCCGGCCTTCCAGGTCCTCTCCTTCCCAGTTTTGTCCCACTGCGTGAGCAGGACACAACATGGTATGTGCCTTCCCTTCCCCTCTTTGAAAGGGACTCTGTTTCTGTCACACAGGCTGAAAATTCACGGACTGAACTGAGTAGCAGAAGGAGGGAGCTTCAGGGGAACAGAGACAAGTGTCGTGTTCCTGTGGCAGGGAAGTGACAGGCCCTGGAACCTTCTCTGAGCTGCTCACCACCGTCTAAAACCTTCCGTGACCCTATTCACCAGCTGTCTTCTCTGGGGACTTAGCTCCTTGGGGCACAGGTGTCGTTCTCCTGGCTCAGTGCTGTGCCTTCGCCTCTGCCGACAGAGCCCAGCACACAGTAGGCCCTCCAGAAATATTTGTTCAATTCGGGGTTCAGAAGGAGCTCTGGCATTGTTTACAACTCTGCCCCACAGCTGAGGTGCAGAGAAGGCGCACCTTCACGAGGCCGTGGTGAGTGCCCTCTTGCTGCTGCCGTGTCAGTGATGGGTGCGTCTGCACCGGAGTAGCTCCTGAGCCCCCTTCTCTTCCCCGGGGTCAGTGGAGGCCTGGGTGTCGGCTTCCTTGTGGGCCCCCCACTGGCTGGTGAGGGCCAGTTCCAGGAGGAACCTAGGAGCTGTTGGCAGAGCCCAGGGCCCAGGAGGAGGAAGGGCAGGGGAGGGTTGTGCAGGGAACAGAATACCGCTCCTGCCACGTTGAGCACAAGCTTGGCCTCAGACCCTGGCAGGGAGGGCAGGAGGGAGGGGCCAGAAATGCCCTGTGCTCTCCTCTCCAGGGGCATTGGGGGAGCCACCAGCCCCACCCTCTTGGAGAGGTAGGAGGGCACCCTGCCTGGCAGACTCTCCACACCTGGAGCTAACTGGCAGGGTGAGTGTGTACGCGTGTATGCATGTACACGTGTGTGCATACATGTGTGTGCATGTATATGTGTGTGCACACGTGTGCACAACGTATGAGAGAGTGTGGGCGTCTGTGTTCGTGCCATCTAGGCCAGGGGTTGGTGAAACATTGTGCCTTCGAGGGAGTGTTTATGAGTGTGTGTATGTGTGAAAATCTGGGTGTGTCTGGCTGTGTGTGGAGCTTCATCCACACCCTCTGTGTGTGCCATCCACTCAGCAGAGTGGTGTGACCTGGACCACCAGAGTGTGGATGATAGACACCTCAACCCCTGGGGATCTAAGGACAGAAACTCCCACACTTCAAAGATTGGGCCTTCCTGAAGGCAGGATTCTCTTTGCAGTTTGTTTGCATGCCTCTGGGGACGGGCCTCTCACCCTCTGCCTGGGCTCCCCACTTGGACACGCACACACTAAAAGCTGCCCCTGGGGCCCTTCCCTGCCCCGCCCTCATTCTGGATCCACAATGACAACCATTTCCGCCAACCACATCCCTTCTGCCCCTTGGTCTCCTCCCTCCCTCTGGCTGGGAGGGAAGATCCAGGCCTCACTGGAGCCAGTGAACAGGAGGAACCTTGGGGAGGTTGTTCCTTGTGACTCAGTGTCCCCCACTTGCCTCATAGTGGGGCGGAGCCCCCAAGGGTCTGAGTGAGAGGGCTCCCACTGTATCGCCGGGTCACCGGTGGGCGGGCCACATCAGACTGCAGCCCCAGGCCCGGGTCCCAGCCCCGCCCTTCCACACCTCTGCCACCCTCTGTGGTCCAGGCGCATGCCCCGGGGTCACCCATTGCACCTCCATGAGCAGAGGCACATCTAAAGGGCAAACTCTAACAAGAGGTCAGGCAGAACATAGGACAGGTCAGTGTGAGGGGTGTGGGGGGAACCAGCCCAGGGAGCAGGGGCCCAACCCCCACCTGGAGCCTCCTCCAGGGAGTACTCACTGCTTTCAGCCAGGATGAAGCTGCCGCACTCCTGGGAGTGGTTCCCAGACAGGTCTGTCATGTTGACACTGAAAATGTCGTCGGCCATGAAGCGGAACACATCCATGTGGCACGTGTATTTTGTATGTGTGGCATTGTGGGTGGACTGGCGGAGGCTGCAAGAGGTGACCTCATCCACCAACTCTTCATTCGTGTCTTGCCTTCAAGGACAGAACAGCCAGTCACAGCTGGAGGCCGGTTGGCTCAGTGTGCCTGGCCAGGGCAGGCGCCTGGGGTCTTGGGAGGGAGGGGCTTGAAGTGGGGCTGGAGGGCACCTGGTGCAGCCCCCCTCCCCTTGGGAAGGGACGCCCTCCCCTGAAAGTGCCCCGATGGGCTGGGTCCAGGCTCAGCCTGCACGCCTCCAAGAGACCAGGAGCAGCACCTCTCAGCTTCGGGAATTTAAGCCATCCTTGCCTCAACTGAGCCTGACTCTGTATCTGTCCTGTAGCAAGGGCGCTACGTACGCATTTCAGGTCTCCTTCCCACTCTCTTTTCATCCAAAATCCACTGAATGCCCAATAAACACTTGTGCTGAGAACCAAGATAAGAGCCAAATGGACCTCAGTCCCTGCTCTGCTCAGACTTCCAGGGAAGTTGCTAATATGGGGCTCTTTAACTCCCACTAGGCAGAAACAATGGTCTTGAAGTATGCACAGAAGTTCACCAGCCACTTATTTCCCTGCCTACAAATTCAGGCTGTGAACACGACTGCCGCCCAGGGCCAATATGGATGTGTGGGCTCAGATCTCTGTTAAAAGTGCTGGGACTGAAACTTCTCGTGAGTCAATGCTCTCCAAGCCTGCAGCCTAGACCACTGACATGCCTCTCTGGGGGTGCTCCCTTGCCCACCCTCCCTGCAATCAATTTCACATGCATAGCAGCCAAGGGGATGCTTTAAAACCTCTCTGCCACACCCCTGCCCAAAACTGTGATGGCTTCTCACCACCCACATAATATAATCTGACGCTGCCGACCTCTCGCCTCCTTCACCTGTCATTTTCCCCAACATTGGCCCACTCCCTCTGGTCACACCAACCTCCTCACTATTCCTCCAACTCGCCAGCTTTCCCCACCACAGGGCCTTTGCACATGCAGCACCCGCTGCCTGGAATGCCCTTTCCCCAGCTTCTTCTTATCCAGAGAAGCCTCCCCTGACCCCAGAGGCCCTGGCCCACATCACTTGCTCTCTACCCTGTGGTCCAGCCTCCTGTTCTTTATAGCGCTCATTGTTATTGGAAAGCGTCCCACTGGCTGCTTGTGTTTAACATCTGTCTCACCAGTCATTTCCACTGTGGTGTGTCAGCCCAGCACACCTGGGACCTCCTCAGTTTGGGCTCTGTGAGTCACTGGTGTTTGCAAACGTCAAGCAGGAGCTTAATAAATGTGTTCTGGATGAATGAATGGATGGATAGACGGATGGATGGTGACAGAACAGAAGCCAGCTGGTCTTTATCCTGAGCGGCCTGTTGACACAGAGCCTGTCCTTGACCAAACCCAACTCAGGCGCCTCTGAACTCTTTCCCACACTGGGCCCTGGCCTGTGGCTTTCTGCGTCCGTCTCTGCATTTCCTGCTGTTAGCACGACTCCTGCCGCGTCCTTGCAGCCAGACTCCCCACCCTTAACATCGAATCGGGTTCCTCCTCCGCTGTCCTTGGGTGACGTCCGATCCCCTGGGTGACGTCCGATCCCCTGGGCTGCCGTCAGCAAGGGTCCTGTTAGGTCAGGACCACCAGACGCCCTGACCCCTGACGTCTCCTCCCCGTCTTTTGCCGTCCACTGACCTCGTCTTGCTCCTCGGCTATAAATCCCAACTCTTCCTTACTGTGTTCGGAGTTGAGCCAACCCTCTCTCCTACATGGCAAAAGCCCAGGCAGGGTCCCTACACCTATCGTGACGGCCTTAAATAAAGTCTGCCCTACCCTTGCACGACAAGTGTCATGCACGATTCTCTAACAATATGGACGCGTAGGGGTCTGTGGGGTTTGGAGTCAGGCTGCCTGTGTTTGAATCCAGGTACACTGTTCACTGGCTATGTGACCTCGGGCAAGTTGCATAACTTCTCTGAACTTCACTGTCCTCACACAATGAGAGTCATAATCGTGAGGTCTGGAGACGATCACTGTGTGAGTGACAGAGCGTGGCCTTTGGAGCTGGCCAGAACTGCCCCTGTTTCTCCAACTCACACTCTGGACGAGCCCCGTGAGCCCTGTGCAGTCCTCTGTCAGACGGGCACAGTGATCCCCACCTCACAGTCTTTCTTGGCCTGAAACCAAATGCTGTTGCTGAAGTTGCTGAGTGAGCACCGGAAAGTGGCAGCTATTATTTTTATTGCCCAACTACCTGCTGGGCACGCAGCAGGTGCAGCTCAGCCTGTGGTCCCCCATGGTCCTGCCCAGGACCATGCTCCCCTGAGTAGCACCCTTAGGGCTGGGGAGACCCACCACTTACCAGGTGAGGGTGAGCATGCTGGGGTGGAGGGTCCATGTCTCCAGGATGCAGGTGACGGTCTGGAAGTAATCGGTGTAGCAGACGAGGTCTGAGCAACCACAAGCTGGAGGGTGAGGAGAGAGAGAGGCCTCGGTATGGGTCGGAAGGGGGCTGCAGAATCCCCCCCAACCCCCTCCAGGGCTGGCAGGTGTCCCAGGGCCAGGACAGCTATGGTGATGTGGGACTGAGGCAAGGAGGTCCTTGTACCTAGAGTTTGAGCCCTCAGAGTTTCAAGGCTAGCTATGGAGACAAGACGCTCCTAATGTGAAACGCAATTAACTAAGCAGGTCCCACCTCGGCCGTCTCCCCACGGCTGTCTCCCCAAGGGCCCTGTGTTGGGCCACCAGGTCAGCGTCCCTCCCGGCCAGTCTCCCTCTCAGGGCAGTGCCTCCACAGCTCCCCCAGTGCAGGGCGAACCCGTGCACCCCTGGAGAGCCCTCCACGAGTCAGCGAGAGCGCCGCTGCAGGTGCCTCGGTCCCCGACCAGGAGGGGTCCTCTGCTCTACCACAGCGGGTCCAAGCAAGAGAGGCCACGGGCCACAGAGAGGCCGCGAGGACGGCTCAGGTCACCGAGAAGGCCTCGGGTGCTCTCGCCACGTGTCTGCACTGCCCTGCGCCCAAACCAGCGCTCCCACCAGCAAGTGCCCCCACCCAGGCAGCCTCACTGGAGACATAACACTCTCCCCCTCCCGCAGTTACTGCTTCCCTTCCTGCCAACGTAGAGGTGCCGTTGTGATCTAAACCTGTTCAACGCTTGACAAAATAAACTGAGTATGTTTTAGTTGTGTAAGATCAAGTGCCAACAATCTAATTTTTTCCCACATTATTTACCAAAAATTTGTGCCCCTTCTTAAGTGGATTCATTTTTAATGGCTTTTTCCTATTTTTCTTGACTAAAGACCCAAGGGGGTGGGGGGTGGTCACTCCCTCTCCAGGTCAGAAGCTGGATTCGGAGCCAAGAACACTGCCACCGAAAAGTCCCTTGGTCCTCTCCACCCCGGCTTCCAGATGGGATCGCTGAGGCTGCGGGACCGCACCGCACCGTCCCTCTTCCTCTCGTCTGGGCTGCTGCGGCTCAGCCAGGAAGTCTAGTCTGCGCCAGCTCTCCCCTCACGGCAGACACTGCGCACACCCAGTGACCCTCTCTGCCCGGACGTAGTCTCAGAATCCTCAGCAGCCTTCAGGCGGCCACAACCAAGGGACCGGGCTGGGGGCCTGAGCCCTGCTGCAAGGGGGCTTCCCTCTGGGGGGTGGGTACAGGGCCTGTCAGTGGGGCACAGATGGCTCGTTCAGCGAGTCATGCAGAATGGAGGGCTGATCTTGGCGGGACCCCCACCCAGCGCTGCAGCGGCCTCCGCGCGGCTGTCTGCCCCGAGTCTGTGTCCTGCGGTTCCCTCGGGGGGTCCAGCACTGGGAGAGGGGCTGCCACGCCCACCTAGCTGGGCTCAGGGCCACCGAGGGACAGGGTTTGTCCCAAACTTGGAATGAAAGATCGGGGACCTAAACTAGCATCAGGGACCAGAGAGAGTGAAAAACCCATTTTCCTGGTTAGTACCCCCACTCTGGGCTAAGACCCCCAGCGCTGTCCCTGGTCCAGGGTTATCCAAGCATAGCCACGTGACTCCCAAGTGCCTCGTGTCACTACGTAAACTGGGGACGCGGGACCCCCTGGGAGGGTGTGAAGGTGTACGTGGGACACCACGCTGCTGCAGCCCACGTTCAACAAAGCAGCAGAGGCAGGCCGTTAAGACCACAGGAACCCGGCACATTTGTGAACTGCTCCCAGATCCACCGTTGCCCAGCTGTGTGGCCGAGGACCTTTCCCTAATCCTCTCTGAGCTCAGTTTTCTCAGCTGAGAATGGGGCGTCGCTGCAGCACGGACCTCACAGGGCTGCTGGAGAAAGGACAGGACCGTGCTGAGCACTGGCGCGCAGCAGGGCCTCTGTGCCGTGCCCACAGGGTGTGGGGCTGGGGCTGGGGCTGGGGCAGGCGCCCCGAAGGCCTGCTGGAGTCAGGCCAGAGTGCTGGTCGCTCAGACAGGCAAACGGAGGAGCCCGACCCCTGTTCCCTGCAGAATCTGTTCAAGGCTCTGCGCCTTTAAGTTAAAACCAGAGAGAAATGCCAATGGTCAGCAGAGCGGCTGCGCCAGGCCCTCCTGCCCCCAGTCCAGCCCCAGGCTCGCCTGCACATGGTATCCTACCTACTCTGGGAAGGCGTCCCGGGTCTCTCAGCCCCTGTGTCTAACTCCCAGCCCTGTCCAGCTTGGTCTCTGACGTGCTGCCTGACTGCAACATCTCCTGACCCTCCCGCCGCGCATGGCAGGCCAGCTACTCACCGCCATGGAGCATCAGCAGGAGCAGAGGGGCGGCCCAGCCACGCGGCATGCTGACTCCCGGGGCCTGGAAGAGACGCACAGCAGAGGGTGGGCCCGGGCCTGGGATCCAGGGGCTTGAACAGCCCTCCCCTGCTCCCCGCCCCTCCCCTGGAGGACTTGCCTCAGATTCTTGGACGTGTCTCAGAAAAATAAGACTTTGAGGAGCCCCTCCCTACCTCTCCCTACGTGGGCACAAAACGACAGGTGAATTCAAAGAGGGACGGGCTCGCTGCTGTCCCCCACACACCCAGCCCTGTTGCGTGTGGAATTAAATGCAGCCTCTACGCAGCTAAGAGAGAAAGAGGGCAGGCGAGGGCGGGAGGAAGGGTATACACCAGCCCAGAAAGTGGTATTTAAAGAGCCGCGATCTCCAGTCTTTCTTCCCGTGAAACATCCATGTTGCCATCAGCCCGACAAATTGTCTCCTTTCTAAATAACAAGGTCAAGACTCACCCACAGAGAAGACCCTTACTGAACACCTAGGATAAGGTTAGTCCAATAATGAGCCCATCACTCAGTCCAGAGCCCAAGTCGGCCCCCGAGAAAGCACAGCGGACCCGACACCCAGCCAAACAAAGGAGACCTGGACCGGACGCGATGGAGGGCAGGTCTCTCTGGAGAGCAGAGCAAGCCTGTTCAGCAGGAGTGCGCTTTGGCGCCCTGGGCAGAGGAACGGCCCAGGCTGGCAATGCCAGTCTCCAGCTGGCACTTTGCCTATCGAACCCTGAGTTCCGTGTCTGCTTGGGGAGGTGCCAACCAGAGGTCAGCAGGTCTACCTGCCAGGCCCGGGAACCCCACCCTGACCACCCCCACAGACAGGGGTATAGCTGGAACAGGAGCGGAGGGGGATGACCCACACAGCAGCCAGGTCACCCACATGGCTCCTTCCAGGCACCGTCCCTGAGCCCACACGGGGAGGGCCCCACCGTCCAGGATCCCCCAGATCCCACTCCGGCCCCAACAACAGCACTCCCTGAGCTCCAACCAAGTCACCGAGCGGACAGTGGTGAAGCACATGGGGAAGTCCAGATTATCAGCTGTGTGGCTCCGGGCCAGTCACTGCCCCTCTCTGAGCCTTGTAGAGAACAGTAAAGCACACTCCCAGGATTCTTGTGGGAATTCAAGGAAGTGGTTTGCAGAAAGCCTTGAGCAGGGCCCCTGACACATAAACACTCAATAATATAGAGTTTAGAGCATCAGAAACGAAAGAATTCCAGAATGTTCTAGACAAAACATCCCCAAATTTCTCACTTCCAAATGTTGGCTGTATTTGTAGATCATGCATACTGTTATTTATTTAGCATGTTTTCTATAAATGAAGTCACTTAAAAATGAACTCCAACCTCATCCCAAGCAGTACTCTCCATAGTTGTGCATTTTTTCACAACATGTTAAAAACCGAATAACATTGTTACTAAAACGAGGTCATGTTGGGGCAGACCCCACTTAGACCAGCTTTAAAGAACCCCGATCTTGCACCAGGCCCCATGCCACAGGGGTCCTGTGGCCACACCGAGGACTCCGCCACCCACTGTGGGAGGCAGGGTTGAGTCTGCCCCTCACTGGGGCGTCCACACCTATGACCCAGCCCCGGCACAAGGCCTGGCGAAGCTCCATCCAGTTCACCCTCCAGCAGCTTCACCGCAGACAAAGTCCAAGTTCAAGGCTCCTCCTTCCCCCACATTCCTCCATTCTGCACGAATGACTCACAGGTCCCGGGGGTGGAGGGAGGGTATCTGCTGCTTCTGTCTGCCTGGAGTCTCTTCCCCTCGTATGAGGAGCTCCTCGGGCCAACAAAGCAACCCCCCTTCCTGGCCACGTTGAGTGAGTCAGGAATGGACACCAACCCAGGCAAGGTCAATGAGTCCTGGGAATTTTTTCTAGAACTCTAATTAAGAGGAACTTTGGGGGTCCCTACTGGAAGCTGGTACCCATCTCTGTCACCCCTTACAGAAAGGCTGCCTGAAAATGATGCCAGTACTGAGAAATATAGAACTAGAGTCCCTATGGACCTAGTTCATTTGAGGACCTGGATCTAACTGTATCTGAAGTCCACACCTGGACTTTTCATTTACACAAGCCAAACAACACCTATTTTGCTCAACCATGTTGAATTATGCTTCTGTTGCTTGCCACCAAAGAAACCTGATACAGTGGAATGGAGCTAAGGGCCCAGAAGGAAGCGGAGGATCTTGGAGCTTCTCTGGTCCTTCCACTCTCTGAGCTCAGTTATCATCTGTAAAATGGGGATGGGCACTAATGCCCACCACGCCTGGCAGTTAAGAAGAGGCTGTGGGAGAGCAGAGGTGGCAGCGCTCTGCACACTGTGAGTTACCACACAGGGCGCTGGGTTCTTGCTATTACTGGTCCGCTGCTCTGAGTTGCTCACTATCCGCTGAGCGCCCCACGCCCCATCATGCCTCTCTGCCTTTGTGTGACTCACATCCTCGTGCTGCGTCTTCCCCTCCCATCCCTCTCACTCAGCACCCGTGGCCCGAGCACTCCATCCCTGCATCCGCGAGGCCACACCAAAGAGTTCTGGAATTCCCACCACTGACCACATTCAGGGCTTTCACCGTGCCCTTATCTACTTGCTATTTACCTTTATTTTATCTCGCACTTTTTCTCGCTCCAATATGCATGTCTTAAAAGAAGATGTAATATCACTATCATCGACGGGTATATCACTAGTATGAGACGGGGAGGTGGTGTGTGCCACAGTAATGAGAACACAGACCTGAGGCCAGCCTGCCTCAGTTCCGATCCCAGCACTGCCACGAACAGGCTGTGTGACCTAAGGAAGTTCGCTTTCTGGGCCTCAAGGTCCTCATCTGTGAAATGGAAATAATAATAGCAGCACTTACATGGTCAGGTCCTTGGGAGAATGAAATTAGTCAATATTTGTAAAGCATTTGAAACAGAGCCTAATATAGTAGATATTGTACATGTATTTCTTAAACAAAGCAATCAACTTGCCATGAAGCCATATACAGTGAAATGTAAAAACTAAACACAAGAAAAACAAAAGACAGTAACTTCATTTTAAGAAAATAGCACCCCCTGCCTAAGACTCTCAGGACTTGAGATCTTGTTCGCCTTTATCTTAAAAGGACGGAAGGGTGTCAGAGAGATGCTTAAGACATACTAGCACCACACTGAGATTCTCACCCCCTCCATCAGCAGAGGATGGAAAGAAGGTAGAAAAGGGTCCCGGACATTTGACGCCATCTAAAATAAGCCACTCACCGCTGGGCAACGCAGCCTTGAACATGGCAGGCGTCTCCCAGTGCTCCCGCTCACCAAAATAGGAACCCCTGCCCGGAATCCACTCCCTAGCGGCTCTTCCCATCTTCCCGTCGGGCTGACTCCCCCGAGGGCGACAGCAGCTCCCTGCCCGATGCGCACCCGACCACCAGGCCGAGCTTCCCGAGCGAAGGTCTGAGGCTTCCTGCCGTGGGAGCCCTGCAGCAGCGGCCCAGCCTCTGGGGTCTCCTACAGCGGAGTGAAGGGCACCTGGCTTGGCATCTGCCAGGTCCTATCTGGGTGTCCCGGGGCAGGTCCCCAACCCTTCTCGTGCTGTTTTCTCATCTATAAGGTGGGGGGCACTACCCTTTGCCACAGGTTTGCGGTAAGCTCTAAGCGCGCCATTGCAGGCGAAGCACTCCGCACAGCCCGCGGGGGCGGAGCCCTGCAGAGGTGCTGCTTGTCCACCAGGCTCCGGTGCCGAGGACCGATTTCTGGGCTGGTGGGAACGCAGAGTGAAAGCTGGCCAGATTTCGGGAGAGTCTGGGGAAATGGAGAAGCTTGGGGGCAGGAAATCAGGGCTAAGTGGGTGCCTTGGAGAACGCAAAGTCCTGCCTTCACAGTCAACAGAAACGCAAATAGAAAGCACAGCGACACACCAATTCAATCTCATCAGCTGGCAAAGACCAAAAGTCTGAGGACACCACGTGTAGCCGAGGACATTGTGGAAAGGTGCCTCTCGCTCACAGCTACTGGGAATGTAAATGGAAGCAACTGGTCTGAAAAATCGTTGAGTTCCATGGGGTTAACTTGAGTGGCTGCTTGCCCTGAGACCCGGCAGTTTTGCCCCTTTGGACACGACGGAGGAAACTCTGCCACGCGTGCACTAGAAGCGCGTGCAGAAACGTTTATAGCAGCGTTGGCTTTAATAATGAAAAACTGGAACAGCCTAAATACCCATCACATTAACATGGAAAGGTAGATTTGGGGGTAATCGTTCAACGTGAAAATGAATCGCAGCTTCATGCCAGACAAATGACTCACAAACAAAATGACAAAAAACATTAGTTAGAAAAGAACACCGTCAAGGTCACACTTAACACCATGTCACCATGTAAAGCTGCCCTAGGGAAACATACACGTGTCATGAAAGTATAGAGAATTTCAAGAGAATGGTAGACATCAAACTTCAACTAGTATAGAAAAGGAGGGATGTGATGAGGGTCTCAGCAGTTTGGTAAAACCGAGCGCCGAGACCATGGGTGTTCGTTACAGGGGGCAAAAGTGGGTTTACATTGTGAGTGCATAAAACACAGAGACGAGCTTATTCTTGTGTTATTATTTATTAATTATTGTATTATTTCCCATGTGAACAACTGTAAACTGACTTTTGTCCCACATTCTATATCATTCTTTATATCTTTTTGTATATCGTACTATTTCACATTTTATTTTTTATCTATTTATTTTTTCTTTTAAAGTCAGAGGCAGAGCCAGCAAGAGAGTACATGGTAAGTTTTTTATCTTTTAAATTTTTTTCAATATTTTATATATTTATTTTTAGAGAGGGGAAAGAAGGGAGAAAGAGAGGGAGAGAAACATCAATGTGTGGTTGCTTCTTACATGCCCCCCACTGGGGACCTGGCCTGCAACCCACGCATGTGCCCTGACTGGGAATCAAACTGGTGACCCTTTGGTTTGCAGTCCAGCACTCAACCCACTGAGCCACACCAGCGAGGGCTCTTTTATATATATCTCCTCTCCCAAGGACATGCTCATTGA